CACGGGATTCCCTATGTGGCATTCCCTTTCTATGGTTTATGCATGATGCCAGTTTATTAAAGCTATGTAAATATGCAATTTAAATTAAACGTGAACTAAGGAACCCTTTATCTGCCAGGGTAAGCCTAAAGTGACATGGCATTATTAATTTATGAACAAAGAATATCACAATTTTCAAGCATGCAATAACCTATCTACAAGGGTAGGTCCTAAAAGAGGATCGTGCCAGACCTCTTATTTCCTAACGTTTGTGAATGCAAAAGACAAAAGACAAGGAAACGTGAGTTCAACACATAACACATAACACATTTGGACAATTAGATAATATAAAAAGCAACAGAGACAGATAAGGAAAAAGGGGTGGGACCCCTCCCCTCGTGAATAGTGTTTCCTAATTTAGGGTAAGGCCGATTCTACCCTAGGCAATTCTAATATGGATGCATGAGGCTGGGGTTCGCTAATGCATCTAGACTCGATAAGCTCAGGTCCCCGAGCCTTCAGACTTAGAAACCAAGGGTCATCAATCCCAAGGTTCTTTGTCGGTGGCTCGAGCGATTCCCCAAACACCGCTACGCACACATCGTGTCGCGGCTACGTGTTTGAGTGAATCTATCAAAATCCTCAACCTTCGACTAAAAGCTAAAGGCTATCAACCCATAACTTAAAGCGGAAGATTGAGTGACTCATTGGAACATGCTACACACACATCGTGTCGTGATCACATGGCCAAGTGAGTCACCTAATCCTAATAGGGTGGAGTGGCGTGGCAAGCCACTAAAAGAAAAATAAAGGGATAAAAGAAGTAAAGCGTATGCTCGTATGTTAGTGCTCGTTCGGAGGGGAAGGGTCAAGAACCAACGCGAGGCTCTAGGGTGACCCATACCTCCCAAAATGCAATGCAAGCGCGAGATAACAAGTAAACATTCATTCAAACATACATTCGTGAGTCGAGGGATTGGTTTGATTACGTACATAAGACAAAAGGTCCTAAAAATGAAAAATGCAATCCTAATATCCACATGCAATGCATAAAAAGGGTAGAAAAAGGAAACGAATGGCTAAGTCAAATGCTTGGACCCACTTAGGAAGTCCCCAGTGGAGTCGCCAACTGTCGCGCCCCACTTTTCGATTCGAGTGGTGAATGGTGTGTGATGTGTGTGTGAAGTGTGGTGTGAACGTGTGCAAAATGAAAAGTAAAAAGGCCATGGGACTTTGGAAAGCGACGATTTGGCCAAATGAAATTTTAAAAAGGGTTTTTTTAAATATGAAGACGGAGTCGCCACTTGGTATAACAAGCCAAGAGGTGTACACATACCCCATAAAAACTTAAATAAAAGTAAAAGTAAGTAAACGCATGCAAGGAGGTAAGGAAAGCGAAGTAGACATGCATATTCACATAACACGTAGGAGCACATAGGGTCAAATGAAGTGCAAGTGAGGGATAGAGTGTACCTCCCTTGAAAGTGGGGCCCAATGAAGTGAAATCACTTATTTATCCTCCAAAATAAAAGAAATGGTCAAGGTACCAATTTATTTAAAAAAATGAAAGAAAATGTGCAAAACCAAGCTCACTTGGTCATGAAGTTCACAAATTCATGCATGAAGTACTACCTAAGCAAAATGAAAGCAAACGAGCAATCGAATTGCAAAGTTGAGGCTCCAAGGACTCAATTGCGAACACTAACCAAGCATTCAAGCCTAATCAAACCCTTTTAGGAGCTTCAAGGGTCTAGGGACAAAGAAAAGGGCAAGTAATGGTTCAAATGCAAGTATCTTAGGACCTAATTGCAAGAACATGGAATGTAATTGGGCCATCATGCATTGCTGCAAAAATACAAGGGATCCAATTGATTAAATTTCCAAAGTTTTTGGGCCTTAGTGGCTTAAGGGGAGACTTGGGGCTCAAAGTGCAAGTTTTGGGAACTTTTTCATGCAACCCATGCAAGCTACGTGAGAAACATGCTGCAGCAAAATTTTACAAATTGATGAAGCTATATGCGGAACTTTGCTACATAATCTTTAAACACATGGTTCAGCAATTTCAGCACAGCAGATTCATACACACAGCTTTGCAATTACTCCAATTAAGAAAATGCAAATAATTGGCAGAAATTCATGCACTACTGCAATATTTCCTTTTACTACAAAAATTGCAGCTTCAAAACGCTGTCTTAAGCACCAGCAAAACAGCAAGACAACCTTCGGATTCTTCTAACATGGACCACCAAGAATTAGCATCAAACGGATAAGATGAATTACTTCACATCAGCCAACAAAATTGCCAAGACAGGGGCGTGCGAAACCAGAACCTCAATCATCCCAAAAAAAAATCAGTTCTGTCTAACCGCTGCAACAACCAGAAGCTACGAGCTTGTTGCTCGTTGCAGCAGATTTCCGTGCACACATCCCAGCCGAACACAGCTTGAAACCCAACAAAAAGCTCACCAAATGTGCTTCCCGCATCACCAAGAAAACCAGAATAAAAAACATGCAAAGTTGGAAAATTTCTGCGGCTTCACAATTCAACCAAAACAGATTCATGCGAAGTAATGAAATGAATGCTTAGTGATTTGTCTACTCAAACTTCCCAATGTCACGACCTCCAACCCGGGTTATTAACACTCCAAACAATCATCTGTTCCCCCAATCAGGCATACAACTAATCACAACCACCAAAATCAGTGCAACAGAAAGATGAACGTGGGTATTAAATGTTGGCAACAGCAAAAGCAACCTAAAACCCGCATCTAACTAGCTTAAATCCCTACACTATTATGTAAAATGAACAAAAGGAGAGACTACAGTTACCTGAGGAAGATTTCATGGCCAGTTGAACGTGAAATGTTGTCGAGGGGATGCACACTGATTGCAGAAACGGGATTAATAATGCCGCCGCAGAACTTCGGCACAGATGGAGTCATCACTTTGGCTCCAGATTTGGCTATCTTTCTGTGGTTTCCCCTTCAAGATTTCTGAATGGAAAACACTCCCATTACGCTGTAGATGTTCCAGATTGTCTAAATCTACAATAAGGGGCCAAATCCATAGAGAAAATTGCCTCCAAAGATAACAGAAAGTCAGCGTGGATAGCAGATTTTCTGGAAAATTTCCTCTTCTGGCCGCCGCTCTTTTCCCTCACCTTTCTCAGTTTTTCTTTCCTAACTCTCTCGGCTCTCTTCCCAGTTCTCTTTTTGTTTCTTGCTCAAAACCCAGCCGCCCCTCTCTTGCTCTCTTTTCTCTCTTCGAAACCTATCTCCCAAATCCTCCCCCTGGCTGCGGTTACTGCCCAAATGCCGAACACCTTCACCGACACCGTTAACTCTCAAAACTCTCCTGGTTTTTCTTTTGCTTTTTCCCTTTTCTCTTTCTAGATTTCTGGCTGTCAATCTCTAGCTCAGCTCTCCTTTCGTTTCTTGCCCAAACCCTTGCTCAGTTTTCTGTTTGCCTGTCGATGCCCCCCCCAAAAAACTCCCTCTTGCGGCTGATGTTTTCTTTTTTTTATATGAAACTCCAAGGCCCTTAAACCCTCCACTGAATGGTCAGGATGAAGGCCAGCCTCTGCCTTCATCCTGCCCTTCAATGGCACGTACGAAGTTAGCCCTTTGCAAGCTGCCAAAAATGCAGCTTGCAGGCCACGATCCCTTTTTTTTTTTTTTTTTTTTCAAGAAAACTAATACAACTTGATAATTACAGAAATGATAAAATAAATAATAACAAAATTACACAAACCAGGTAATAATAATTATAACAAAACAAAAATAATTTTAAACAAAACACTAAGCAAAAATGGCCATTTTTTAATTTTCAATTTTTCTCTTTTCATCATTTTCTTTCTCTCAAAATAACTTAATAAAAATAACTAAAGTGCCCAAAGATTGAATTTAAAGAAATAAACATATTTTGGTGAACAATTTTTCCTTTTTCCTTTTTCCTCTTTTTTTCATTTTTCCAATCCATCTAAAACCTATTTTTTTGAATTTTTCTTCTTTTCCTCTTTTTCTTTAATTTCTTTTTTCTCCTTTTTATGATTTTGCATTTTCATTTTTCTTTCAAGAAAGCAAAAAAAACAAAATGACTAAAATGATTTTTCTTTTCTTTCTAAAAACTCTATAAACATAAAAACTAAAAAAACTAAAAACTAAAAACTAAAAACTAAAATCTAAAACTTAAAAGTGATTAAAAACCTAAAATGACAAAATAAAAATGAATAGACAAACTAAAAGGGCAAAATGAATAAAACTAAAATAAAATAACAACTAGAAATGCAAAACACACAACAATGAACTAAATGCAAGCGATCTAAAATAAAAATCATGAAATAGATGCCACATACAAATTATTCAAAATTTGGTGTCTACAATGTTCACACAGCAAAATCCTAAACTCAACAGGCTTCAAAATATTACAAGATTTCTTCATGGGATAGGCCTAAGCAATAGATCATTGCTTGGACATGTATACGCACACTTGAACCCACATTCACAATTAATAATTGTTCCCAAGTCCATTCAAGTCTATGCAAAGATGCTTTACTTAGCTTGACTCAGCGACTCCCCTTAGCTTGACTCAGCGACTTCCCTAACTCAAAGATTAACTAGAATCTGGGAGGTCAAAAGGGCTACATAGAAGTTATTAACAAGTCATCTTTCACATGTGGAAGGAATTAGTTCTACGCATGTGCAACTCAAACTTAATGAAGGTTGAGCAAATAATAGACAACTACAGCATGTTAAACCAAAAAAGTAGACGATTAACACAAATGCAGTAACTTTCAATCGCAAGCCAGAAGAAGAAACAATGGGACAAAGTATTCAAACACTATCATTTTCAACAATTATGCTGCCCATGCAGAACAGCTCTAACAATGACTATAGACACATGGATCTATAGAGGAGAAACACCCTGTAGGATTTAGTTTCAGAAAAATCAACAGATCATGCTCAAAATTTTATCACAAAATTTAAATGATTTCTGCATCTAAGAAAGAGAAGTCATGATACCCTACTCTAGTAGATTGACCAATTGTGACATCAGGTCCAACGACAGCCCCAGACCCAATAGAAACATTTTCACCCAAAAGAGACTGTGAATGAACTACTGCACCAAATTCTATGACCGCTGTTCGATGAATATATGCTGATTTGTGAAAAGTCCCACCACCATTATGCCACTTCTGAAAGTCTTGATCAACCACAGCATCATCATCTAAGCTTAAATGAAACATATGTAAACTTTGACTTAGTGAACTATATTACTTCAGACTGAAAAACTTGTTCTTGAAAAGAAACACATGACTAACTTAATGGTCAAAACCTCTGAAGTTCCTAAACCTGTATGACAGTATGCAATGAAATGCTATCAGTAGGTGAGACCCATTATGTAGGCAACATTTTCCACTTCCTATGTGTCATGTCAGTTACCTTGACACAGTTAGAATGTAGACAATTGTGATAAGGAAAATGCAGTTTAAAAGAACTTTCAATGTTTGAATTACAACACATTGAAGATGGAATCTCAATCAAAACTAAAAAACTATGGTAGTTAGAAAAAGACTTCAAAATAAGCAACCTAGAACCTTCTGTTATTCATTGCAAGCAACTATCAGACATTTCAATACTGCAATGAAGCTCTGTGAAGGAAGAAAGCAATCCAAATCAATTATTTAGGGAAATGTGTTCATAAATTGGTTATCTCCTTTGAGTGCAGGAAGATCGCAGTTAGGGGTTGCTCTTTTCAAACATGGAAATGAGACTCCCAGTTACATGAACTATGAAATATCTCTAGAATATAATGACCTGCACTACTTCTATGAAGAAACTGTAAAATATCTAATTAATTTTGTTTTATAGATGTTACTGAAAACTTTGGTGCAAACTGAAAAAGTTGCCTAACCAAATTAGAATGGTTAACTATCCAAAAGGCTTAGACTGTTAAAAAAGAGCTCATTAAATAGTTGAATTATGGTCAATATATAAAAGCTGAATAACTAACAAGACACTTTAAAGTACAATTGATCAGTATGGTTATCTGGTCAACCAAGTGAACAAAATTACTAAATGGTCGGTTTTAGTCTAGTTAGCATCTAAAAAAAAAGTAATTCTCATCTTCCAAAGTCTCAAAGTTCTTTTTTCAGTTTTGCTAGTCTTAGAACACTTAAAAGTTTGCTCAATTTTAGTTTGAATAATACTCTCAGAGTTCTTTTTTTGTTTGGCCAACTGAAATCAACAAAATCCAATCATAAAACATATAAGTCAGAATTTAGATACAAAATAGAAAACCAAACTCATTTTGAAGACCTGAATTGAAATGTATTACTTAAACCATGGCCAAACTGTTTCCCAAAAGGAAAAAAAATTTTCAAAGCAGTTTGGTACCAAGCCTATCCAAGTGTAGACAATCCGACCTTATTTATCCCCAGAGAATAATACCCGTAAACCATTTTATCTGAAATTGGCAGATGTAATAGAACCAATTCTTCAGTTAAAAATTACACTATATCACAGCAGGTACTTGAGTTCTTGAATGACATTGTTTTCCTGCCACGGAAAAATTAAGCATGCACTTCAAGAGGCTTACAGCATGCTTCTTTCCCTACTATACTGTAGGTCTATAAACAAATTATTCTATATTTACTATCTTACAGAAAAATTCCGCATTAAGCTTAAGCCCGTAAAGTTTTGCAATTATCACAACTTTGAGTATATTTAAAAAAAGAGCAATTTGCCGATGCCATGGAGCATGTTCCAAGTTCATAGCCAGATGCCCAATCATCAGATGTGGGTGCCCGGAGATTGAGAGAAGGAGAAACTCTTTTATACGACTCAATTATCAGCAGACAGATTAAGCATGCTCCAAATGCAACGCAAAATGCAACCTGAATCGTAAGGTTAGTCTTATACTTCAATCTAGGCAGTCCATTAGCTTCTTCTAACAACCTAAGCACAATGACTACATCACACAGACAAATTTTCAGTACCATTCTTTCATCTTCAGACAAGAAATCCTCCAAAACCATTCTTCCTCTAACTTTGTTTGTTAATATGTCCCTTCAAGATAAGCCCCAAACCCAACACAAGACACTCACAACAGCTAATTCATCTTGGACTGACAAGAACAACTTCAACTAAACGTACACAGAGTAAGCACCAAACATGTGATCCATTCCAAAAAAATTGAAAAAAAAATGAGAAAAACCCGGATCACATGTGGCCATGATTCACCAAAATCAAAGATTAGATCTTCATGTTCTACATACATATTTGTAACAGGCATTTCAATAAGCAGATGGAGTGCTATGATAAAACGAACAAAAGCACAAACTCACCAACAGTCATGCTGGAGAACTAGAGTGGCAGTGGACTCACCGGACTTAAGAGAGTCGACCTGAGGCTTGAAGGTGCTTTGATCGGTGGAAAGAAAGTTGTTCATGCAAGTGTTTGATATAGGTCTAAGTGGGGTGAATACAGTAGAATACTTGTTTTTGTTGTTAGCCATGACGGTTGAAATGTTGTAGGATGAGCAGCCATTTGTCAGTAACAATTTTCTCAACCGAAATGCCATATCGATTAGCAAATGCTTTGGAGCTTTACTTGAAATTTGGAGCAACCAGTTCAAATGCAATGCAAACTATGCTGCCAATCTATCAATTTCAACTGCTAAAATTTAAATATATTAAATTATTGAATTATTAAGTTCTAAATCTAATATATATCACATTAATAAGTGAATAGCTATTCACTTATTTTTAACCGCAAGTTTTGCCTACGAAATTCAGTGTCATATAATTAATTCAGATGTTCAATTTTTCGTCATCAAATGCGTCTGAACATATTAAAATTTGAATCCATTAAGTTTAAGTGCTGAATTGAATTATCAAACAAGACCTAAGTAACTATGATATTTTTTTTCTACATTCAAGCCCTTTTCTTATGCTTAAAAAAAAGGCCTTTTTCTTTCTAATTTTTCATTATAAATTTAGCGTGTGTTTGATAAAACTGAAGTCTGAAAACTAAAATTTGAAATATGAAATCTAAAGTATGAATTTATTAAATTATTGCATTGTTAAGTATTAAGGACACGTTTGGAATTACAGGAGTTTATTGAAAAGTACTTCTCTAGTAGAGCTTTTAATAAAAATACTTATTAACTGTTTAAGTGCTTTTAAATATATTATTTGGAAACATAGTTCAGTAAGTACTTATTGTATTGGATAATGTGCAATTTAAAATTTTTAAAAATAGTTATCTCTTTATTTGATTTATAATATAGGATAAAATGATTAACTGTGATATTTTATTTTTTAAATCACAAAACTGCTCTAGAAGTACCAAAATTGAACTTTACCTAAAAGTGCTTTTAACACCAAAAAGTCTACTCCTAATTTTATGGAATGATATTCATCAAACATTTTAAAAATACTTTTAGTACTTAAAAGTGCTTTTTTGCCAATAGAACGGCAATCCCAAACGGGGCCTACATCAAATACATTTGATTATATATCATATTCAGTAATAAGTGAATAGTTTATCATTTATTTTTTGAAACAAGTTTTGCCTAAAAAAATATAGTGCCATTTAATTAATTCAAATGTTCAATTTTTTTGGGTATCAAACACGTCTGAACAGATTAAGATTTAAATCTATTGAAAGTGCTGAATTGAGTTATCAAATAAAGCCTCTTAAATTGAGAAAAAAAAAAAGGAAAAAGCAAGCTAACTGGGTAAAGGCCAAGTTTGTAAGTCAATTAGGAGTTTAAGGCCCAAAGAAGCCCAATCTGGTGTCGCTTTGAGTACTATTTGATCCGTTGAAAGGAAATGGAGCATATTTTCTTGTAGTTCTTGGCTTCGGCCTCCCTTTGATTGGAAAGAAACCCAAAAAAAAAAAAAAAAAAAAAAAAAAAAATTCTGGGCACATTCCATCAGATTGAGGCTTTAGGTTAGGATACTGAGAGCCGGTTTAGATTATAATATTTTATAGAAAAATTAATTGTAGTACATTTTCGAAATATGATGAACATGAAATAAAAAAAAATAATTAAAAATGCGATAAGGAAATATTTTCACGAAAATTGAAAATATATTTCTACAAGAAATGCAACCCAAACAAGGCTCTCGAGTCTCTCTTCAACTCGTTCAAGGGGTGAAGGTAATTTTGCAAAACTCAGAAAGTATTCTTGACAAAATTTTAATGGACCAAGCCTGTATGAATATTTTATAGGAGCAGAGCAATTCACACTTGTCTTTCAAAAAAGACTTCTCTCCGCTTAGAGCAATCAACATAAGTATCAAACAAATGACATGTGGGGTTGCTTTACAGACTGAAGTCATTTATCATAAGTATCGTACCAATAATAATGCATGATCGTGGGGTCTTCATTCTGGGTTTAAGGTCCATGAGAGCATCTTCCTATTACCAATTGGCTGGATGGATATTTCTTATAGGTCCCACCTTAAATTGCTCGTTTGAGCCGATGTGTTCGGTGTTACCTCTGCGTGTCTGTTCATTGTTTGGGTGTGTGCGTTTATTTCGCTTCGGCAAAAAAAAAAAAAAATGATCTGTTTTTCTAACCAACTTAATAACCTTAGCAACAATGATTGGCCAAAAAGAATAGAAAACTTAAGCCAATTTGGCAGTTTCTCAAGTCTATATGGTCAGGAATAAATGTCTAAAAGCCCCTTTTTTTTACCTTGGTGCTTGGTGAATAAAAGTCCACAACGCATTCGCAGTTTGCTGCGTCGCCCCACTTCTTTGTTCTCTGAATATTTTACTACTAGTTCATATTATATCCTGCTCTCTCCCTATGTGAAATAAACCGTTTACTTGGGAATCTTTTTTTTTTTGTAATCTTATTGTGCCTATATTTACTGTTTTGCACAAAGATAAAATGCCTCTTTTTCTTTATATACTACATTATTATCATTTAGGTGAAAAATGACGACAAAGCTTTTTGTGATATAATGTCCTTAGGATTTCAAAAAAATTAAAAAATAATTGAAAAATCCTTTTTGCCCCTTTACTAAGAGGAACTAGACAAGTAGACGATGGCAAAAAATTGAATAGAAGATTATCATAATATTTGAATAGCTTAGTACAGATCGAGTGACCTAAATTTTGCCATATTCTCGGTACCTGGAGCTGATAAGATGGCGAGACAAATTGTAAATGAGATACAAGAAGTAATCTGAATCGTACAATTTTTTTTATCAAAATTTGGCCGTGAACACTCATCCAAATTTTCTTCGGAGTATCCAAGATGGCATTGGAGTCTGCAATGGGGTTGCCAAGCTGCAGCGTATCGTTTTCGGATTCTTCATGAATGAATGATTTTGTTACGCCTGATTTCCTTTTAAAATAAAAAATTTTTAGTAAAAAAAAAAAAAGAATGAAAACAATTATGTGGCATGTAAGAAACATGTTTATAAAAAATCCTCAGAAAAAAAAAAAGAAAAATATTTGCTCGAAATCCATTCCTGGACTGGACATAAGGGAACCAAACAACCAATTTTATAATGATATTCATTAAATCAAACATATTAGAGGAAATTTCCAAAAAAATTCATGCTCCTAAGAGCATCCACAATGGGGGTGTAATACACCCCCATTACACCACTCCATGACACGGCTCCCCATTGGAGCCGTGTCATGGAGATTACACGCATCACAATTGTGATGCGTGTAATTCTCAGAATGTGGGCCTAGGCAATTTCAGCATTTCAGCATTTCCAACGGCACCCAATATTTCCTTTCCAACGGCACCCAAATTTCCTTTCAGCATTTCCAGCATTTCCAACGGCACCCAAATTCCTGTGACTCAAGGTTTGGCCGAAAATTTTCAATATTACCTTCAAAGGAATGCGGAATTACGTGATCGAGAAGTACATCATCAACTTCGATCAGACTTGGTCGAGCATATTTGGGAACGATTCGAAGGCAATGACAATGAAAACTAGTATTCATTTTGTTATTATTTGTATTTTATTTGATTTAACTTATGTAATATTATGTTATGGAGTTCAACTAATTACATTCCGAATTATTAATTAAGTATGGATTATTATGATATCTTCGTATTTGAAGTATCAAATATTTGTTTAATTTCCTACATAATTATTTTTAAAAAAATAACAATATATTATTTTTGAAACATAGAAAAGGATATATTATTCAAACTTAAAAATTAATAATATCATTTTTAGAAAATAAAAAAATTCAAAATGTACAAAATTTAACGAAAGTTAGTACTTTATTTTTTAAAAATAACAAAATTAGTTTTAAAAATTACTTTATTTATTTATGGGATATGAGTTATGCATTATTAAAATAAATATTTGATTAATTGTGGACCCATGCTATTACACCTTGTGGAGTGTAATCCATTGTGAGTGAAAGTGTAATAAAAGAGGAGAAAGTGGAATGCTGACGTGTCATATGGATTACACTCCACAAAGTGTAATCCATTGTGGATGCTCTAAGAAATAGAAGAAAAGGACTGCCATTGGACTCACCGTGTATGATTATTGTTAGTAGTCCCTCTTGAGATGAGAAGAAAGACCATGGATAGAGGTGTAAATCTAGAGGCCACGAAGAGATGAAAGGCTTGACTGTAAAGTTCATTATTTTAATTTTTATTCTATTTATATTTGGGTGGAAGTGGAGCCGCTTCAGCTTTGTCACAATCTATATCTATATGTATTGCAAGGAGGATTTTAGTGGAGGTTTTTTAAATGGTTTTCAAATCTTCCGTACATTTTTTTTTTAGATTTTTTAATTTATTTTAATACATAAATTCAATTAAAAAGTTTGAAATAATGTGATTTACAACTAATTCTATACAATTCAAATTTAAAATTTAAATTTTTTTTCTATTTCAAATGAATGTTTAATAAATCATTTATAATCGCAAGCTGAGCCAATTTCTTAAAAGACGCGGTAAACGAATACGACCTGAATGCGACCGAATTCCTTGGGACCGAGGGTTTGAACTTTGAAGTCTATTGTTTGAGACTTTTGGGCCGAACTCCAACGATTAAGATTCCAGCGTATTTGGCTGGCTTACAAGGGTGTTTTGTTTTTAGCTGTTATTAATACTGACAACAGGGGGCTGATATAACAAACATAAATACCAATAAGATGAAAAGCATAATAAATATGTTTGACACATCAGGATTGATGCTCTACATTTAATTTTCATCATTTAATTCAAAAGTACTCCATCTCTACCCAAAGTCAATAAAGTCACACTGCTGTCACGATAATCCCGATACAATAAAGTCAATAATCTACTAATACAAACATGATTTCCAACTTTTCTGGAGCAATTGGTTGTTTCGCTCAAGCAAGTGATCTGTCTGTTTGGATTGTGAATTATTAGAGATATTTTTACTGTAGCACTTTTTGTGATGTGATGTATGTGAGATAAAAAGATAATTGGGAAGGTAAAAAGGTGTATTGGAAATTGTAATGACGATGTAAACAAATAAATTTTGAGAAATAAAGCCCAATCCAAACAAAGCTGATATTATCACAAACGCCATCCCAGAGCTTGAACATGATGAAGATGTGCCTATTTTACTGTTTTGCACAAAGATAATAATGCCTCTTTTTCTTTATATACAACATTATCATCTAGGGTGAAAAATGACGTCAAAGCTTTTTGCTATATAATGTACTTGAGATTAAAAAAAAGTTAAAAAGAGAAAAAAATAATTAAAAAACGTATTTCTCATCTAAGTAAACTTTTTTTTTCAAATAATAACTTCTCCAAACACACTAATTCACGCGATGAATCATTAGCCTTTTTTGCCCCGGGAGAGATATGATATTTTAGCATGGAAAAAAATATAAAATATAATTACGATTAGACGAATTAAATGCTAAAGATAAAGATAAGGATGACCTACAATCTTAAGGTCATACTATTCATTTTGAAATTTCATGTTCAACTTAGTATAGCAATATTATTGTGTCCTAGTAGGTTTTTTTTTTGGTTACAATGGTAACGTTTCTATAATTTAATCTATCTTAATTTATGGGGAGGGGAAACCGATGGAAGTAAAAACTCCATCAGAGGAATCCATTAAAAATCGTCACATATAGTGACAATTTTTGGTAAGAAACAAGGGTTCCTAATACTATCAAGACTTAAATACTTGGTAGTGACCACCAGCCTTTTGGCATGGTGGCTATCCTAGTAGCTAAAAGGCCCTTTTTTTTTTCCCCATTTTTTGCCCTTTACCAAGAGGAACTAGTCAAGTAGACGACTAGTGAGCGAGCATGACGGGTGGAAAATCGGAAACGGGCAATAAAATGGGATTTCAATCGTGTCCCCACCGGCTTGATTAAATCTTAGTTAGAATTTGACGACTTAGAGGCCGTCTTGAATGCTGATAACACCTGTGAAGTGTAAACACGAATTTTCTTCCGAGAAACCAAAATGGCATTAAATTTGCTATAAACTTGAAAAAGACTGCTGAATGGAAGTATGACTTCCCAGTTTGACCGCTTGAGAATTGAGATAGCACAAGCAGAGATTGTAAGGGCCTTTGTACCCGGATTAGCATATTAATAAAGTGCTGTCGTTTTGAAGAAAAAAAAAGAAGAAGAAGCCAAAATGGCATTGGAGTCCGTAATGGGGTTGGAATGGAAGCCGTAAACGTATCGTTTTCGGATTATTCAAGATAATCACCGCATTAGGCAAGAAAGACTGTTGGACTGGACGTGAGGAGAAAGCGGTCAAGACCCAAATACCATTTTCTCCAGGCAACTTTTGGACCGTCGTTTACTCTTAGTATTTCCCAAAGGATAGGGTTTTCCAGTTCCTTAACCTCGACGAAGCTTCCTCCAGCCAATGCCTGTCTACTGAAACTTGTGTATGGGCAATTAATTCCTTTCATCCAATTTGAAACATTTGGAAGGAGAAAGGTCTTCCGCCAGTGGGTGCGATGTCAGATTAGTTAATCTTTGTTCTAGAACTACTCGAATCAAGAGAAAAATAAATAGAAACACTCATTTACAATAATGAAAACAGCTACAGTGACTGCTTTTCCCCCTCTTTTTTTTTTTTTTTTTTTTTTTTTAAAGAAAACAAATATTTTCATTTTAACCACTAAAAACATGTGCAGGACTTATGCTTACGAAAGGACCCAAAAAAAAAGTAAACTATTTTTAGATGAAAAGCTAAAAGATACATTTTCGACTGGTGTTCCAATATTACACTAGCCTATCTTGTAAATATCTTGATTGATTAAAATATTTAGAGCATATTTTTTAAAATACCTTTGGACATGATCAGATGGTGTATCTTTAGCTTTTCATTTAAATGTCGCGTTACATGAAAGGATCTTGCACTATGATTAAGCACTTCAAAAATTCGAACATGAATAGTTGCCTTTGCGTATCTATATCTAGTAGGAGTTAAAAAAAAAAAACTTTTACAGCCAAACAAATTTTAAGTTATTGCAATAATGATCTTTACGGAATCAGTTAAGAATTCACAAGATTATCTAATGTTTGTGTGATTAAGAAAGATTAATTTATGCTGTAACTTCGAAGACCAGTCAACTCCATGCTAATGCAACGAGTTTGAACTTTAACGGTAATGCTTTTTTGGAGATATGCTTAGGGGCTGTTTGGTAAAACTGAAGCCTGAATTCTAAATTCTTAAAGTTAGTGTTAAAAGTACTAAGTTGTGGAATTGTTTACATTGTATCTGTTTGGTAACTAACTGGATTATAATATTGAATTGAAATATCGCACAAAAATGTGTTTATATATATTTTAAAAATTACCTTTATTTGTGTATTGGAGAACAAGAAAAATAAGTGAGAGAGAGAGTAATGAAACAATTCAAAGATGGCATTTAAATATGTTGTATATTTGTGTGTAAAAAAGTGCGTGTACATGCATGTGTGTCTCTATGTGTGTTAAACATAAAGAAAACAAACGTACACCGCATGCGAGAATAGTATGAAAGTGTTTTATGTGTGTGAGATATATAATATATGTAATCAATTTAGAAGATTCAGTGAAAATTTTTCACTTAAAATTTTGTACATGAATTAATCAGTACTTAATACATTAATTGATAAAGCAATTTTATTGTCAAACACGTTAAATCCAAAAGCTCTGAATGAATTAATTTTCCTCGCGTAGAGTTATCAAACAGGCCCTTAGTCTCTCTATCCGAAAGAGTCACTGAATTGCTTAGAATGAATTCAATATATCCAGGTGCAACCAAACACAGCAGTTCACTATACAAATCTTATGAAATGTAAATTTAGTCGAGTTCATCCGTTAGTTTTTTATTTCACTATTTATGTGATGCTATTGAGTGATGATTTATGTGCATTGATCCTGCTACTGTAACCTAGGGCAGTTTCCCTGTGCAAATTGCATAATTATCCCTCTTAATTTTGCAACCAAGAAAAAATGGAGGAGTCCATGAATTCGACGACATGTGCCGGTGCAGCCCTTCTAACCCAAAGACGACGTGACCCAGACGGACCTTGATTATTCTCGGGGCTACTGCCCAAATTAATTGTACCAAACGTCATCGTCGCTTCCGTCACGTGACATCAACGATGATGTACATATGGTTGTTGAAATTCATTTGTGGAGTAATTTCCTGTTTTTCACTATTGCTTGTAAAGCAACTTTTTGGCATTCTTCTGTAATGGAAAAATCAACTTAACACAAACCATTTGTTGTATCCGGGATGTTTCCCCTTACCCGTCAGTCGTCACCTTTGTAAAAGTCATATTGTAAAAAAGTTTGTCAAATAAGTGCTAATGAATACTCGTAAAAAAAAAAAAAAAAAAATCCTAAGAATATGAGAGTTCTTGTGATTTTTTTTTTGAAAAAAAAATATCAATAAAGTCTCTAAATGTATAGAAGCAATAATTTGAGTATATTTTTAAATTAGATTTGTTTGGCCACTTATTAATACAGCTAAAATTTATTTAATCTATCATATATGTACACATACTAACATTTATTATTCTCTCTTGCATCGCATTATATATTTTTTCTATTTAATTTTACCTATCCTTCATTATATTTATTTATTTTGTTTTAAATAATTTTACATTTTAAAAATTATGATACTATATTTTAACGAGTATCCGACAGGCACACGTTAAATAGACCTTTTTAAATTTTAAAATCATGTACATATCTGAGTTGATGCTAAAGCATGATTGGCAGGCAGTGCAAACGTAGGGGAAGAAAAATTAGTGCTCATTTCCTGGTACGATGCAACCGCCAACCACTCATTTCCTGATCCAATTAATTCTAAAGCAAAACCACCGTACCCACCTTATAAAAGTTTGTTAAACTGCTAGTTAAAAACTGCCAAGCCATCAAACTAGCTGGAGATATTCTGAGTAACTACATAGTCATAAATCCATATTCAACAATTCATATGATCATGCTTCGTTTTGAAATCATATGCAAAGATTTTTCAATGTTTTTATGTTGCTTACTCTGCTTGCTGATCGGCTTCAGCAAGAGAGCAAATAGCGTGAATTTTCTTGCACCCTCCTGCGAAAATGTCACCTATAGTCCAAACACTACCAACAGCCCCTTCAGAACCAACCTGAATTTCCTCCTATCCACACTATCTTCCAATGCTTCAAGGACTAACGGCTTCTACAATTCTACCGCTCTTGGCCGTGGCAACGATCCCTCTAATACAATCTATGGCCTCTTTCTGTGTCGAGGCGACCTTAGCGTTGATGTCTGCCAACAATGCGTGGCCTCTGCTTCCAAGAGAATTATTCAGGAGTGCCCCAATCAGAAGGGTGCCATCGTTTGGTACGACGAGTGCTTGTTGCGGTATTCAAATCAGTACATCTTTTCCAGAGGGGATGCCCTCGTACGACTCCGCCTGTCTAATGTACAGAATGTAACTGAATCTGATGCAGCGCGATTCACCTCGTTATTGGAGAATTTGATGGATAAGATTCAGAACCGGGCTGCAAATGATCTTTCAGGGAAAAAGTTTGCTGTTGAGGAAGCCAATTTTTCTGCTTTCCAGACACTGTACACCCTGGCTCAGTGCACACCTGATCTTTCCACTGTGGACTGTGATTCTTGCCTCAGTAATGCTATCTCAGTTCTTCCAACTTGCTGCCGTAACCGTGTGGGAGGTAGGGTTCTTTATCCCAGCTGCAACATCAGGTATGAGCTTTACCGTTTCTACAACAATAGCGTAGCACCTGCGCCAGCGCCTCCACCAAGTCCTCCGCCACCTCCCCTGCCTCCTGTTCCGACAACTTCAAGCAGTAAAGGTAAGCTCTGGAGCTCCTGAGTCAGGAAGGTTCTTGGGTGGAACTTGTCAATACAGACTACGTCTCCAAGAACTTCCATAATGGATTTCAGTACATGTATATCCTGAGTGATCATTGACTTTCAAGTATGCAAATATTTCATAATCTAATTTGCTGACAACCCAATCGTACAATTTAATTAAATCACATTAAAAAGAATAAAATACTCTCAAGTACAAGCATCAAGACTTACTTTGTTCTTTTAACTTCTTATTTGAAACAAGGACCGGACTCCCTAGATGCATGTTCAGTTTTTTTGAGAATGGACGAGGTCAGTCTGATTTGTTGGCTAGGAAGTCCAAGTTTTCAAAGATCAATCTGGCCAAACCATGGTTTTCCTTATTTTATTTTGGGGATTAAATTCCCTCCAAGATATCTCTGGATTATGTTGGGAGTTGGGACAACTATATATACTCTTTTTCTGAAACAAGAATTTAGTGCGTGTTTTCAAAAGAGGGGAAGAGGGTGGGAGCGAGAGGGGGGAAGGGAACTGAGTATGTATATTTTACGAGAGTTTTAAATTTATATGTCGTCACTAGCATGCATCCCCACCCCCACCACCACCACAACCACCACCACCACACAGACAGACAGACAGACACACACACACACACACACACAATAATAGCCCAATTTGATCTGCGCGGAAATAGGCAAAATAATGATAGGTAATCTGCCACAAACTTAAGATGTATTAGATTCTTCCTTTTGCGATGCATCCTCTTTCAGAAGGCTTACAGGTTAATTCTTGATGTAAATTCTATGAACACTCCATTTTACATCTTTATTTATGTTGTTTGGACTGGGATCAAACGAGTTCATAGTTCACTAGTCATCCACAGATACAGATATTTATCAAACTGAAGATCTTCCGTTTCATAATACAGGCTCATCACGAACAATTATTGCCATTGTTGTTCCAGTGGCCGTTTCCATTTTGCTGCTCTTGGTAGGCTTCATTTTCTTAATAAGGAGATCAAGGAAGAGATATGATGCCATCGTGGAGGCAACGGGTAACTTACAGCAGTTAAAATGATTAGTAATCAAGAAGAAAGTATTTCAATCCTTCTGTGCTTCTGAATCTTTCTGACGTCTAACCATGGATTTCTCTGAAATTCAATTTATTCTGTAGATGCATCTCAATTCTCAACGCCTGAATCGCTGCAATATAGTCTGAGTTTAATTCAAGCCATCACAAACAACTTCTCTGCTGAGAACAAAATTGGTGAAGGTGGTTTTGGTCATGTCTATAAGGTACCTACAATGAGCTTAGACGGTTCCAAGAATGATATGTATCCACATTATATAATTTAGTTCTAATCAACTCCTCCTTGCTGTATTTATTGACTAGGGAACTCTTCAAAATGGACAAGAGATAGCAGTGAAGAGATTGTCCAGAAGCTCAATGCAAGGTTTAGAAGAGTTTAAGAATGAAATTTTACTGGTTGCCAATCTCCAACACAGAAATCTAGTTCGATTGCTTGGGTTTTGCTTCGAAGGAGAGGAGAAGTTACTTATCTATGAATTTGTTCCTAACAAAAGCCTTGACTGCTTCCTTTTTGGTAGGCCTTAGTTCAATAGCTACTTGTATTATTTTCATATTATTTTCTTGACTTCCAATCAAAGTCTAGAACTTCATACCTTAATATGGAAATATATGATCAATGTTGATCTTGTAGCATTGACCCAGAATAAATAAGCCAAGTTGAATAGGAGTGTCAATTTAACCACAGTCCAATACTCTTAATATAACATGACGTCTTGACCACTGCCTGCATACATATGGTGTAGGACATTTTGAGGCATTACACTTCTTTTTTATGCGTTTTGGAACACTTCCGTTTTTCTTTGGTATGGGTATTCCGTTTCTGGCTGTTTATGCATGCTAATTGCAACACTGACCTGAAACATTATTTTCAATTATCATGAAGATCCTGAAAAGCAACACATGCTGGATTGGTCCAGACGCTATAAGATCATAGCAGGAATAGCAAGAGGACTTCTTTATCTTCATGAAGATTCTCGGCTTAAGATTATACACCGCGATCTTAAAGCCAGTAATATATTACTGGACAGAGATATGAATCCAAAGATTGCGGATTTTGGCATGGCAAGGCTTTTTGGTGCTGATCAGTCTGCGGCTACCACAAAAACAATTGCCGGAACATAGTAAGTTCTGAAATTTTGCACAATTTTGATGAAAGTGTGGAACACATCCAATGTTCCTAATCCTTTTTAGAAGCACAAATCATCATCTGCTTGAAATAGCCAAAAAAAGGATTTTAACTGACAGGTCTTCTTTAACTGCTGCCTGGATATATGTTAGTTATCCGCGAAGTAATATTCTTTCTCGAAATTGATTATGAAAGGCCTGACAGCTCTTCAATTATGTTGCTGCAATTAAGCATACGAGGTTTTTGTAACACTAACACATTAGTACTGCTAATACTACTCCACTGTCCATATATTTGCAAGATTTGCGCTTTCTAATATATTTGTAACATGTCTGCCAATTGGCTTTGGTTGTAGTGGCTATATGTCTCCTGAATATGCAATGCATGGCCATTTCTCAACAAAGTCAGACGTGTTTAGTTTTGGTGTTCTGGTTCTGGAAATTGTAACTGGCAAGAAAAATAGCAGCTTCTACCAGTCAGATGGTGCACAAGATCTTCTAAGCCATGTGAGTGCATATTATCAAACCTGTTATGATTCTTTTTTTAACCCCTCGAAATTCCAAAGAGTCTATGATATCCATTTGCTATAAATGTTGCAGTGTTGGAAAAATTGGAGGGATGGGACGCCATTAGCATTGCTGGATCCAATTCTTGGAAACTCCTCTGCCAGAAACGAAGTGATTCAGAGCATCCATATTGGCTTACTATGTGTTCAAGAAGATGTTGATGAGAGGCCTAACATGGCCTCGGTGGTTCTTATGCTCAGCAGTCGTTCTGCCACCATGCCCACTCCAGATCAACCTGCATTTTTTGCTCGCAGTAAAACAGAGAGCTTTCCGAGAGAGTTTCAGTTTGATGCATCCACATCCAACTCAATGCCAGCTTCAGTCAATGAAACAACCGTTACGGAATTATATCCAAGATAGAGCAAGTCATTGGGCACTTCTCGTTTCAAGATTGTAAAAGTTGTGTACGAGTAAAAATTTCAAGACGGAACATGTGTTGTAATTTCTCCATGTACTTTAGTTGTTCAATTTTAGTAACAATATGCTGCTAAAAAGAATAAATCAAGTATTTCGGGGATCGAGGAACTCAGCAATCAGGGGGCTAATAACTAATTCCTGGTGTTGGCACTTAAGGGTGGAGACTGGCTATTCTGAATTTTCGAGATGGGGTTGAATCAGGGGAGCCACATCGAAGAAAAGGTGAAGACAAAGCTATTCTCGTCATCGGAATGCTACCTCCAATCACTTCCCGCTCAGAAGTCCAAGACTCCAAAGCCAACTGCCCATCCTTTCGCCTAGTTTCGGTCTTCTCTACCAAACTTCCCACCATCATTCCAAAAGCTTCACCCTTCTTCTGCTTTACCAAAATTCAATCCCGAATTAGAGACCACAGAGATTCAAACATGGAGCATAATCAATTCTCATTATGGGGATAGAGGTACGGCACGGCAAAATTGTATGCATTGAAATCCAATGAAAAGATCTTTTGACCAAAAATTGAGGAAGTCGATTGTTGCATGGCTTGACGGCCAAGAGCTCCTGGTTTGCCTAGAAGACTGACAAAAAAAATCCTTAAAAGTAACACTCACTAAGGATGTTGCCGTTGTCGGATTCATTTTTGCAAGACCATCCGTCTTAATTTGTTCATGGTCGGCTAATGTATGAGGTTTACACGAAAATAAAATATAAAATACATAAGATTATTCAAAATGTAATCAATTTTAAAACATACATAGCTACTTGAATATAAATGAATTATTCCATCGTGTACAACTTAATCATTCATAACGCTTGTCCTTTTGTTTTTGTTTTTTTTTTTTAAAGAAACTACCCTTTAAATATTAGTTTTTTTTTTCTTTTTCTTACAACTCAATTATCTCATTAAAAGCTGGGAAAGAGCCTTTAAATTTCACAACAAAATCTTAGTCTAGTATATTATGTGACATATAATTCTTGAATTTTTATGTAAATAATTAATGCAAATGGTTTCGGCTGCATTTATTGCTACGAATCAGAATAGACTTTCAAGGCCACAAGTCGCATATGCGAGTACTAACATATTATTATCTCTCGCCGCAACTTCATATCAATAATGAGAATTGAATACATGACTTTTTGAGGGAAAAAAATCCATTTATTCTAATTGGATCGACGTGCGGCGACATATAAAATACTGAATAGAATAAAAATATTTAGGTTCGAATCTATTAATCAAATGAAAAAGGTTTTGGTCACTTGTTGAGGATACTGCGATTCCAGATTTGGTGCAAAATCACATGGGATGTTAAGCTAATAATAATCAAATACAAAGATATAAGTCTGTGCACCAGTTATGTGCTTGTACAAATTTTAAATTTCTCCAAATTTAATATTTATAGCAGCTATTTTTACAACATGAATATGAGGCGTAATGTATATAGATACCACTACATATATGTTTACTTTAAACATTAGTTCAACTGATAAGACATACACAAAATTTGGTTTTTCCTTCCACGCTATGAATAACGTCCTTTTTCTCTCCAAAATGTATAATTACCTTTAGGTATACAAAGTCTTTCTTAATTGGAATTTTAATTAAACGTGTAAGGTTTTATCATTGTGTTCTAGACTTGCTATTATCTTTTAGCATTCGAATTTTGCATGTGTGGATTACTAATTAGAATAGGAAAGATATGGTGATTATGCTTTCTTTTTCTTTCTCTCTTTCTTTGTTTGGATAGGTAAGGTGCTAGTGTAGTTCAATTGTCTACTTAGTGAAAGACAATTCATTTGCTCCAAACTCAGGATGAGAAACGAGTTTCGCTATGAAGGGCAATTTTCAAGAGAAATTTCTAATTTTGTGATGATTTTAAAAAAAATTCTACAAAAGGGGTGATTGTGGCGAGGGATTCCGTTGGGGGGTCTTCGCATTTCACGAATGCGAGCTCTCCTGAGCTCGCATCTTCTCAATAGAGATCCACCCCTTTTTTGCTTAATTTTTTTCGGAGGCAGAGATTTATATTTTTGTATTAAAAGAAAATGTTTAAAGATTTCGCATTCGCGTTGGCATTCCCTATAAAAAATTTACTTAGGTCTGCTGAGCTCGCATTCGCGAAATGCGAGCTTAACTCAACTTAAGGGCGATTCGCGAGCTCAAAGACACTAAGTATAATTAAATATTTTGTTTTTTTTGGGAGCTAGAGAATTTTTTCAAGAAAATAGTAAGAGGTAAGTGCGAGGTCCTAAATATTTTTAAAAAAAATTTTTCAAATAGCTCGCATTTATAAGTTTGACCTCCAAAAATTGTATTTAATTTTTGTGTTAGATTTCGCATTTATAAGCATGACTTTCATAAAAATAAATTCAAACTTGGTAGAAAAAAAATTTAAAATGAAATTTACGAGCTCAAAAAAAAATGTACAATTAAATGTAAATGTTGTTTGTTTTGTAGAATTTACCTTTACTAAAATGCTCTCGGTAGTAAAATCTTATTTTAAAATCTCAACTAAAATCTTATATTTTGGAGAAATGTAGAGAAATTTTATTTAAAAATCTATAATTAGCAGAGGAATAAAATTTTTTTATTTTAAAACTTGCACGTGCCTAATCTTCATCAAATATGTGCTGTAAAGAAAAATCATATTCACAACAATCTGTTTAATATAATTTACTATACATGCATATTTCTTTTATATTAAAAAAAATTGATAATTTTACGGTTGGAAATACGTTATTTTATTATAATACATTTAAAGGGTGGAAAAAGAACACATGCATAGTTCTTTCTATTTCATAGATCAATGTAAAAATAGAATGAAATTATTAACATGTAAGGTGTTGACTATATTTTATGAATAAAATACTAACTTTTGATCCTAAATTTATGAAATAAATTTATTTATCAAATTCTAATTTTCCTTTGTTATTAATAAATCGTATTTATTTGTTGACACCGATGAATATTAGTTATAAGAATGTAATAATTAATAGTCATTAATATCTGTTACAATTTTTTTATTGTAATTTTAGAAATTCCATAACGCAATGCTATTTAAAAAAAGTATATAAGTTATTTTTATGAAGTGCATGTTATTTGTTTGGTAGTTGAAAAGGAAAAGAAAAAAAATAAAATCAAATATCTAGCTTGGTAAATCTTGCGTGTTTTACCTTTTACAATTGATGCGAATGTAGATATTTTTAGATGAAAATCACTGGTTACTCAACATTTCACATACTGAAGTTGCTTTTTATACTCTTAATTTAAGTATCGTTTTACGCGAAAGTCGACATTTGTAGATGAAAACTGCCGGTTACTAAGTACAAAAACATTTGGAGTAAAATAACCCTTTTTTATTTTGGTGTATATATAATAAAATTCCCTCTAAAAATAATCATGAGAAAAGTATGACACTTATTGACCATATTAATTTCTTAACTTATAAAATCAGATAAAAAAAAGAATTTTCATCAAATGTGCAAAATGTAGGCATAATTTTGTCCACTTTACTAGATATACTTTCCTATAGATGTAAAAATTATAATCACATAAAAATCATTTCCCAAATTCAATGAGAAAAGAAGTTTCAAAACTATATATATTTATTTCAAAAGGATAAGTGAAAAAATTGTTTTTATTTATTATGGTTAATAACATATATATGTATAAGGTTTTTATTTATTATGGTTAATAACATATATATGTATAAGGTTTTGGAAAAATTTTGACAGAATCTCCCCTTAAAAGTGGACTAAAACTCCCTGCCAGCAACCACAAGAAATACAATTTAAGCACAGCAATTATATGAAACACAACTAAAACCACAAGTACCACACATATTTCTCCCCCCACACTTAAATTACACATTGTCCTCAATGTGTAGGGAAGAAATGAAACAAAAGAAGAAAAGAAAAGAAAGAAGTTTCCGCCAAGTCAATGGTTGAGATCCTTTTCAGCCACTATTCACGAACCACTGCCAAAATACAAGTGCCTACCAAATAAAAAACAGAAAAAATAAAATGAAGTTAAACATCTTAAGTTCCACAAGTTAAGATAATTAGGCAAGCAAATCCACCAACTAAAGATAGCTTCTGCAGTGCACCATATCAGTTATCCCCCTCGGCATCATCGTCATCCTCTGCATCACGATTGGGTGGTGGATGAATGCCTAAATGATCTTCAATTCGGCTTAGATGATTCCTAACGTCAGCTAACTGGAATGAAAAGTTTTCGATATGGTCAAAGAGTCGCTGCCAATTAGTCTGTGGTGGAGGAGGTGGTGGTGCTGCAGTAGATGGTCCAACTTCATCCCGACCATGTCTCGCCTTCTGTCTCCGCTCCTCTACAGGGCCTGGATTGCCAATAGAAAGGCGGCGAAGAGTAGTGATAGTCATCTCAGCCCGTGGTGGAACAATCTCACGCCTCATTCCTTCCAACTGAACCTCAAAACGCCGGAAGATTAAAGTCAGTAGACGAGGAAATGATAGTTTGAAGGAAGTTGTCTTACGCCTCGCCGTAGACCTAATGTAGCTGATGATGATATTAGACAATGAAATTCGAGCATATGGAGATGTCCGGTTATGGAACATGTAATCCAAGAAATAGATATCGCTCTTGCTAAGACTGTTAAAGCAATAGTGTCTAAATGTATATAAAAAATAATTAAATGGCATGCTAAGACTGTTAAAGCAATGGAAATGCATCCAACACAACTTCAAAAAACGCGCATCAAATTTTGGGTCACGCTAACATATATTGTAATTTTAGCAAAATTTATTTTTCCATTTTAGTTTAATCTCCACTATTTTTCTAAAATCTTCTCTAGGAACACAACTCTAATGTACGATTTACCCATCTATATCTGGACACAGAAAACGCGACTGAAAACGCGCCTCGACCCGCGTTACATAAGTCGCGTTTTGTGCACAAATCTTGCGGGAATGAAAACGCGACTGTGGTGGAAAACGCGACTTCTAGTCACGTATTTGAAGTCGCGTTTTTTGGTATATGATCCAGGCTTTAAAACACGATTTAGGTGAGAAACGCGACATCATAGCGCGTTTTCTTCAGTGTCGTTGCAAGAATTCGAACAATGTAACGTATATCCTCAAATCCACCACAAAAATTACAAAAATAAGCACAACCCACGTCAAA